GAAAAGGAATCTAGATCACAGACTAGTCGACCTATACTAGTCATTTCTTGCCTAACAGCACTAACCGACCTCACGGCGTTCAAAGAGGTACTGCCAAAGTTTTGGACCGTGGGCATTTTGAAATTACGCATGAGTAGCACGGTGCCCGTAAGGAACTACAGTATATTTTTAATGGTACTTAACGACGAACGGTGGTTAAACAACAAAGCTCATACAAGAGGCGATCAGAACTCAGGGAAAAAACCATCAAACAAGTAGAACTCTTCAAAAGGTGGATCGTGAACATTCCGATTAGTCATTCCTTACGTATCTGGTCACTACGAGAAGCTACCAAAATAAAACCATTTAACCCTGGTGTAAAGTTGCTCTTCAAGCCCCATGCCACGGTTCAAAGCCAGTTTACTCGTTTAGAAGCCACTGAAAGGCAGGAAGAAAAATGAGGCTTGATTTATACCACGCATTGCGAATGAGGAGCTACGTACGTTGGGGAAACCAGTAGCAGTTTCAGCGATTGGATGAGGCATCACCACTCGTGCCTCACATGGTTGAACAGTGCTGATCGAAAAGAACGTGGACAAGATCAAAACCGACGTGGGAGACAACAGCCGAAGGATTCGACAGAAATAAAAGGGAAATGCAAAAATACTCTGCACTGATCGAACACGCGGTAAAAGAGGATCATGCCTTTGACTGAAAATATATAAAGCAGAATGCCTTAAAAAAGATGACCTGAAACGGGGGAGAAAAGAAGCATTGTTGGCACAGTCACGTGAATGTCTAACAGAGACAGCGGAAAGGGGTGGTCGTCAGTCTGGAGGAATGCAGAAAAGAAGATGAAGGCTGAACTACACCTAGACGATCAAGCTTGGACTAAAGTACCTATTAACAATTTGTCGACCGTATCTGCAAGACCTTAAAATGTTTCACAGTATATAACGATGCTGGAAACTTTGTAAGTCGTTCTTGTTATTATTTACTTTAGTTGAATTATGTCATCCGAAAATAGGTCCAGTACTATCCAGAATGCCTACATTATTTTAATAAATTAGTATATGCGGTGTGAAGGCTTTTAAGAGTATAACTATTAAACACTTCCACCCGCATAAACACTCAAGTAATATCTTTGAGGCCGATATCAGTTCTTGTCGAAGCATTTATTGAAACAATCAGAATTTGAAAGGGGACCATTCTGGCATCCTAAATCAGATGCAAATGATAAAGAATATTTAAAAGCTGAGTGCGGTAAACTTTGAAATTGAAGTATTGGTTTCTTGGACGGTTTTGCAGACAAAACGATTACAACTTTCACCAGTGCAATTGGCAGTTATGAGTATGCTAAGATTTCGACGTTTATATACAGTTTACAAAATGCAGTTACATTCAACTTTTCACGTCGTGTGCGATCCTTGCAGAAATCTCAGCAATAGTGAGCCCCCCCAGCCTATATTTGAACCAAAAGTTTCAGGACGTATGCTGAGCCTAAGACTCTTTGATAGCTGAGATCATGAATACACGTCATTATCTGAATGTTATCGTATTCCTCACAAAAGTACTCATATAAACGATAGCTGATGTCAGCCGTCCATGTGCTGAAAGGCTCGATGCTACGCCGCAAATGAAGTCAGTGACACGTGGCAGATTGTACTTCACACGGTTCTGCCGTTCAGGCATACAGTATCCGAGATTTACTCGATGGCTTCTTCATAGTCTTTCAAAACAACTGCGATCATCAGCATGATCCACCACAGGAGCACAAGTTTCATCGTCGAGTGGTTCCAGCGTCCCTCTGGGCGACTGAAGAGACATTCGTGTGTTACAACGGAATCAGGGCAATAATTAATACCGATTATGCATCAACGGTGAGCCACGTGAACAAACCATAGTCCGCTGGTGTCGTCGAGGGTGCACATGACGTCGGCTAATTAAATCCAACGATGAACTGGGTGGAATATCCTGCTTCTGAGAAAGTTTTTATCAAATAATCAATGATTTATGCCAAAGGAAGAAGACTACTGTCAACGTCTGTAACGATGACAAAGCTTAGAACTGAAAGTACTTGACGTGTACGCATACGGGTTCTGCGTCATAGCAGTAGTCGTCGGTTAAGTACAAATCCAACATTGCGGGTACTTAATTTCTCACTTTCCAGGGTACAATCAGTTGAACATCACGTAATGCCGGAAGCTTAGTTAGCAGCTGGTATAAGACCATTGCGTATTCAGGCGAAACCCTGTCGTATTTCTTCACTCAGTTGTCATAGAGGCTATGAGCTCGAAATGGGGAAAGAATGGACACTATGATGACAAAAGTTTTATGCTTTCCTTTCCATGGATAAATACGACAGTACCCCTTTTCTGTTTAGGCTTTTAATTGAATATTGATTTGTGCGTTGACAGTTGGACTGTGCGGCAGTAAGAATGCGACTTGTGTATCACAGCGCAAAATGATGGTTTCTCGTAATGACGTTATTCAATAACTTTTTTTATTCATAAACATGCTTCGATTTTTAGATGCCTATGTATACGCGATTTATCATGCATATGAGATGTATCAGCATACGTAGATATCAGATATCATAAACAAGACAAGCAACGAGACAATAAAATATAATTACCAGCTCTCTATAAGCTTTATTGTAAATTACATTTCTGGACAGGCAACTGACCGTCATATTTGAGCTGATTGCCTGGTAAGACTTTCACCGCCCAATCACTGAGCTTTCGATAAACAAGCGATGCCCATAATATCCTAGATTTCATAGCACGAGCAAGTTTTTGACTTGAGATCAGTGTACCATATATTTAAGCATATATTTATCTATAATTATAGACATTATAGAAAGACGTACTTTTTGGACTAAGCACG